ACGGCCCCATGGGTTGGATTCAGCCTATGGGCCAGAGGTTGAGCACCACTGTCCTAGACAAGTATTTCTCAGTCCTGGAGAAAATTCCACTAACCACCCAAAAAGAAAGCATTGGAAGAACTAATCAAGTAAAATTGCAGAATTGCCTTCTGAAGTGAATATGATTCTTCATTGAGTAAGTAATACATAGCTGGCAATTTCATGATGCCAAGCCAAGGTATATTATGAAAATATGCCATTGAAGTTGTAGGTTGATTCAGTTGCATGAGATTTGCAACCTGAAGGAATGCCAACTAGATTGTGATAAAACTCCTATAATGCTTAACCTATTAAAAAAAAACAAACATTAACCAGAACTAGACTCTTCCATAAAATAAGAAGAAATGAGGGAATTTGGTGCTGTGGATCTCTTGATCTGATGGGCTAAGCCATCTTTGTCAAATTGTTCAGCGGCACAAGAATGGCTTCTGGGATCACTGGTCTCCTAAACTGTGCTTGTCTTGTGATGACAAGGTATTGTGCATCGTGAAAGTATAAATCTGCGTTAGGCTACTGATTTGCAGGAGAATTATTTAAGGTTGTCATTTTATTGGCTAAAATTTTGTCAAGATCTCCTGGTTTCTTTATTCTTTACCTGCAGCAATACTGTAGAAATAAAACCTTAACTCTGAATTTCTTTGTCTTTGTTGATTTTAGGTGTAGGTTTTTGAACACTAATATATTGTATGTCATCTAGGTCTTGCATTATAGGTTGCTATTGCCAAACCAGTGCTGCTCCAACAGTACTGGAGCCTGCCCCATAGGGCCAGCATGTTCCCTTGGAGACCAAGTTAAATAACCTCCAGCAACTACTCCTCTTCTGCTCTTTGACCACCTAGTTCTTGACTAACTGTTTGGGAGTCTCCTCCCTAGCTTGCTTTGAGGGCTTTAGCGCTAAGGGGAAGCAAAACTCGGGTGCATCTGGACCCCAAGCCTCTGGACTTGGTCCTGCAAGTAGGATGCCTGCCAAAGGTTTTGGGAACATCTGAAGCTGCAGATGGGTGTGGAGGATGTTTGCCGGTAGTAGGGCCACTTTATGGTTCTGAACTCTTGGATTTGAAAGTAGTTTTGGCCAGTTTGGCCTGGGATACATAAAACAAAAAAACTCCCAAAAAACAAACTCTTTTCTCATGGACAGCAGAAGAGATGCCTCCTGCTAGTATACACAGTTACATGGGCCAATGGACGGTCTAGGGAAGAAAAGGATATGTTATTCCCTCCTACCACACTAAGCAGAACAGGGAGAGACCTTTCCCTCCTGTTTTGTACAAAGAACCAAAAGATTGTTGCTATCAGCAAGGCTTGAAAAATGTGCTTTATTCATCCTGACCTGAGAGAATAGACACTGGACAAATAGTAGAGTAAACAAAAACATCTTCAAAGTTAAGGCTTTATTTTAGTTATTCATGTTACTGTATTTCATTCCATGTTTTTCCTAACAAAAAGAGAATTTGAAAGTCAGGAGGTCCAATTTTAAACACCAGGAGAGATGTACAGATTGGCTATGGCCTGAGAGGAAAGGGACTTCAGGCAGACCATAGCCTAGGAGTAGGGGACATCCATGCATATAGTTTAGTTTTCCAATTAAAGCAGTGATGTACGTGCACTCTTATATTTTATAAATATTCTTGTTGCTCTGCCACACTCCTGTTCTTGAGATAAAGGTCATCCAATTACTCATGGAAACCACGTAGCCACAGACCACTCATGGGAGCAGAAGGAGAGAGGAGATACAGTATGAGATTGTCAGTTACTAAATAGACAAACAGGGGAATGAAATACCACCTTTTTAATAATGAAAAGGTTATATTAAACTCGAATCTGAAACTGCAGGGTTTTTCCTTTCTTTCTCTGTGGGCCAGGAGACGTACAGTAATGCCTGTGCTCGGATATTTAGTTAATTAAATTAACCTTTACACTTCTCTCCATAACTTGCCCTCTCTCTTTCACTTTATCCAATTGGTAGAAGTGTTCATTCTTCTTGTATTTATGATTCCTTTCCTCCATTTTGCCCTTCCTATTTGAATTTCTTTCATGTTATGATTTCATTTCCCTGACGTTAAGCCTTGCTACCTTTCACTGTCTCCATTGTTCCACGTCTTCCTTCAACCCCCAAATGTTGTTTAAAAAGAAAAAAAAGTCTGGTGTGCTGACTAACACCTTTTTTTGCTTTTAAAATCTGTCTTCAATTCAAGCTGTGTTTTTTGCTTTTTGTTATTTAAGAGAAGTCAATTGGCTGTGCATGTATGTTCAAATAATCTCAAATTCACCCAAGTTTGTTCTCCCGGTAGAAAATTTACCCAGAGCCACATGTACAGACATTTGAATGATGAAGCCCTGAAAAGTAGTTTGCAGTGCTGCACTCTGCAGCCAGGGAGCAGGGCCCTGTACACACACCTCAGCATGTTCTGCAGGTTTCCTTCATCTGCCTGGCGATAGATGGCAGTAGTGTGTAGGGCCGCTTTAATTGGCTGACCCAGACTGCCCATGGGCAGCCTGCATTTCTTTGCACGACGTGAGGATTGGGAAGGGAGTATATGCTGTTCCCTAGTGGGTCAGCAGAGTCCAGTGAGCAACATACTGTCTCCATGGGAGGAGGATGATGGTGGAGGAGAGAAGCCACAGCATGCATAGATATTTGCTCTCCCACGAAAAGCTATCTTTGGAGTGATTTAACCTCTTGTTGTTCCCAGGTTATTTTTTTCCTGGATCATCTATTTTTACTCTGGGGAAAAAAAGCCTGAACATCTGTGTACGTTCATGGTTTCTCCTGAGAGAGCAGTGACTTTCTGAGGAGAAACTGAATGTCTGTATGAGGCCATAGTAACTTTATAGCTAAGATTTGTACAAGCTATGCCTAAAAGGCAAGTTTCACTTTTCTTCTTGCCATACGCCAACTACTTCAATCTGCTTAGATTTTTTGAAGCTTTGTTCATAAGCCAAGGCAGAAATTTTCTTATGTGTTTTGAGACAAATATGAGAGACTTGATGGTTTAGAAAGATGGGAAGTAATTTTTGGGGGGTTTTTTAACCATTTTTTCCTGACATAACTGAAAAAAAATTGGCTTGGCCTAGATATTTTACATTTGGTTGAAAATGCTCAGTCTAGGCACATCTACAGACTTCTGGTTGCTTTGCACTGCTAGGGTGGTATATTTAAGCATCAGGACCTTGGTTGTTTAATAAAGTAATAGGTTTTTAATAAAGATGCTACCAGCACTGTTGGTGAGAAATGTGAGGTTAAAAAGGTTGTTTTGTTTTTTTTTTTCTTTTACATAAGATTGGAAAAAGAGAAGGGAGTGAAAGAAGACAATTCCTTTATGATGACTTAAGCTAATTAAGTTTCATTGCCTTTTCCTTCTTTCTCTTATTTACCCAGACGTATTTTGTTATCTCTTCTGTTTTCTGTCTGAGACAAAAAAGGAAAAAAAAATGTTCTTACCAAGCTGAGCTGTGTTTTTTATATGACAGGGTGTTGTTGAAGAAAAATGTCTTCTGTGCTTATTTACCATTCAGCATCTTCTGATCATCCTTAATTAAACAGATTTTATAGGCATATTTTAGGTACAACAAAAATCTAATGTTACATGCCTTTTCAGAATGTGCTATAAAAGAACAAAAATACAAGGATTAAAGTTGCATTCTAGAGTTTGTATTAAACAGTAAGAGCACAAGGTTCGTTTGTGTCTGTTAGCTATATGTTGTTAGTCACTTGACCCTTGGTCCTTGACTTGAGACGAGAGAGAGAGATGTAGAAAGGAGAGCAATTCCCAAAGGGATGGTTTACAGCAGGGGTGCCCGCAGACCTCCTTCTTCTCGCACTTTCTCAGCATGTCTGATCTGGTGTCTGCTTCAGCTGGTCTGGGATTCATACCGCATGCAGTGCAGATCCTGGAGTGATTGGAACAGGCAGCACCCAGCACCCCCTCTGGGATGCATATTGCACACAGCACCCACTCTGACCAGTCCAGGACCTGTGCTGCATGTGGTGTTTGAGGCGCTGCATGCAGCCCAGGTCTTAGACTGACTGGAGCTGCTGGGTGCTGTGTGCAGTGCAGTTGGGCCGGGGCAGTTGCTGCATGCAGTGCAGATGTTACTCCAGGCAGACTGTGCCACACAGTGCCTTTTGCAGTTGGTCTGGGATCTGTGCCACATGCGTGGGTCCCAGACCAGCTGGAGCAGCCACTAGATCAGGGTATGCTGGGGGAGGAGGGGTTCACACGCCAGATCCAGCCCACAGACTGGCCCTGTGCTCTGCCCTATGTGGATCTGATTAGACCCAGGGGCAGTACTGGGGGCTGGATGGCAGGGCTTCAGCCCATGGGCCATATATATGACATCATTGGTTTACAATTTCTCATTGCACAGTACAATAAATAGGCTAACAGCACAGGTTAATGCAACTCCTACGTGTACTGTATGAAAATGTGATTGAGAATTTTAGTTCATTAAAGGAGAAACTGACTAGCAATAACCTGAACAATAATAAGAAAAGATGATGGAATCTCATTATCATTAACCATTTTTTACATAAACATTGATTTCTTTTTTTTCCCCTCCCTCCACACTAAATTATTTTTTCTATTACTGACCTGGCATCCTTTGGATTAAATTTTCAGTCACCGTGTCCCATGACTTTTTCTGATTTCTATCTAATTAGCTGGCTGTTTAGACAAGTTTAGTGAAATGTAGAGAGTAAAGTTGTTTGTTTCCATTGACAACTATGTATGAACAGAATTAAGTACATTTTATCTCTTGCTAATATACAGGCATTCTGAAATGCTGGTTCTCTAGTTCTAGGTTTCTTTATAAATTACTACAATTCTATTAGTCTCGTAACGGTGTAGACTTTATTTGGTGTTCACTTAGCAAAGGGGAGAAGTCAGTGAGGAGAAAACATTAGGCACTGAATCCTGCAGTTCTGTTTCTCAGTTTGTTTTTTTTTATCTTTCATTTTACAGCCTTTATCCCTTCCCTGTCCCACCTTTGTCGTCTTGAGATCCGGTCCCTTTTACAAAGCAAACACCTGCGATCCGACAAGTTTATCCGTATGTTGCCATTGCCCACTTGTCTCCAGGACTATCTGCTCTGTTTCGACATACTGAGAATGAATGCCATTCCAGAAGCAGTGGATGCACAGGGTGAAATGGCTGAAGGAATGCTTTATTCAACTCATTCCAGTGCAGAAGATGCAGAAAGAAAACAAGGAAACAATTGTGCTAGATGTTCACATTGTTCATGACTGGCCTCTTGGACTGTACATTTCACAAGTGTTAGCAGATTCCGTAGGAAAACTAATGTTTGATGTGTAGGTGGTACTGTAGTAGTGGGCTTTTCCCTATTGCAGCATTGTACTCTGCAACTAAAGGTATGTTGCTGGTTATATCTTGTACCCATTTAAAGCTTTTAAAAAGCTCATTATGCTCTTTTTTTTTTTTTTTTTTTTTAATAAAGAAAATAAGTATTCAACTTCTTCCAGGCCCCATAGTGGATGTTAAAATAATGGCATGATTGGGACCTGAGGAATGTTATACCCCATACCAACGTGCATGGCAGGATATGCAGTGTTTGGAAGGGAACACACAATTCCTCTGATTCAAATCATGGGACTGCCTGGGGATAGGGTACAGGGAGGAGAGGGCTATGATTGAAGACCCTGGTACTGCCCCATACCTGTTCAGATGGTTGGGATGGGGCATGGGGCTACCCTGGGTCTGGGACACATGCTACATGTTTAGTTTAAGGTAGAATACAAACCATATACACAGATGTTCTACATTAAATGGAAGTATTAAACGTGGATTCACCTGATTTGTCATTTTATCACATCATGAATTGGCTGAATGTTTGGCATGTTACAACTTATGGCATGACTAATACAATCGCACCATAAATATAACATCTGCCACGACCCATAGAGGCAATATCGCCATATGCAATGAATAGCTTCTAGATGCCCCTTTTGCAATCTGTCTCACTTAATCACTATGTTCATAGTAATCTTACTTCAAATCTTGCTTATACCAAGCAATACATGCTTCATGGCCAAGAAGCAAATTGTGTTGGTATTATGTATTTAAATTGAGGAATGGTGTAGGTGAGGCAGAAATATAAAAACAAGAAAGGTATCAGGAAACAAACTGGATCAAGTGCATTCCTTTGTCACTTTTTGTTATAATCATCTATCAATAATTAGTTGCTTCTCTGTTGCTTTCTATGAAAAATGTTTTTAGGCTATTCATATTAATGTAAAAATGCATAATTACTTGTTCACAGAAATAATAACATCATTCTCACACCTTCAATTATATGAAAATGAAATCTTGTTGCTAAAGAAGATATGTGGATCAGTTTTGTATGTACATACTTCATACAATGGAAAATAAAGTGCAAATATACATATATTGTATTGATATTCAGAGTGATGATGCAGTGGACTTTAACTTATGTAAGAATAGTCTCAGATTTCATGTTCAAATGTATGGAATACTTACTTTGATTTCTTACTAATTAGAATACAAGAGAGATTCGAGTGAAATGATTCCTGTAAATTACTCTAGAAAACATTAGACTAATTTTTGACACATACAAATTGAAAATTTTGAAATTGAAATATTAAAATACCTACATTTTAAAGGATCCTGTATTTACTAGTTACACAGAGGAGTTTAAATTTCATTTTATTTTCCTTTCATTATTTTGCAGTCACAATCTTTGTTCTGACTGGCAACACCTTGAGAACTGAACCTATTTAGGTGCTTCTGGAAAAGGAATGTGAATCCTTGCTGCCTATCCCCACTCCTGATTTCTATACCTTTTATAGCTTCTGTCACCGAAATGCTAATGGTTATATATTCCCAAAGTGGACTATGATCAGCATGTCTCTTTCTCAGTAAGGCAAGAGTTTCTTAAGGTGGTATTTTTTATTGAAGCAACTGCATATTTGGGATAGAGTTAGACAAGTTTTTAAATTCAAGACATTCTCCTTCAGGGGAAATACTTGCCTCTCATGTAATTCCTGGACCATCATGGCTACAATGTCACACTAACACAGGGGTTTTCAAACTGGGGTGCACGTCCCTGGGGGTGGGGGTGTGAAGGTACATTGTGAGGGTACAGGCATAAAGTTTGCAAGGAGCTGGCAAGGGGTGGGTGTGGTGGGGGTGGGGAGCCCTGGGCATACTCTGCCAATGGGCCACTGTGTCTTCAGGAGCCCAGTGTGGCAGGCATGCAGCCTAGAGTCAAAGCAGAGCCAAGGCAGGAGGTGCTGGGGCTGCAGTGGGTGGAGCTCACCTCACCTAACCAAGCCAAGCCACAGTGGCTGCTAAGATGCGCCCTTTGCCTGGCTATGCTGTTTCTCGGGGGGAGGGAGGGCCATGTACAAAACTGTAACCCAAAGGGCTCAGCTCAAAGTTTGGAAACTGCTGCTCTAACACTACCACCTTTATCACTGACTGATATGTAAATGTTTTCATTTCTTGAAGCCTCCTGCAATTGTGATCTGAAATCTTTATTTTAAGGGATACATTTTGTCCCTGGTACATGGATACAGCTCTAACTGAAGCTTATGTGCCTTGCATTCATGTATCTGAGAGGGAGAATTGCACCCTAAAATCTCATTGAAAATAAAAAAGGTATTCAATCATACATGCTGTCTACTATATAGTATTTTGTTTTTACAAATTTGACAGTTTGCTATAGCTACCAGCTGGGCAAGGTGGTTCTGGCAACTTTTAAGTCCAAAGTATAGATTTTAGGGGCATTTGACTACATTGTAATTAATAGTGGACTAGGTGTAGCTTTTTTGTTAATCTGTCCCTACATTATCCAGACTGGAAGCCATAGTTTATGCCTATATAATGTCTTTTTATCTTATGTGTTTTGCTTTGGGGCAACTGTAAACTAAAGTATAAAATGGAATTGGATCAAAGAACTCTAAATAGTTGTTAACTATCAACACACACCCATACCCCCACAAAAGAACATGAAATAAGCCTTAACAGGCCTAACTCTGCCAGAGCCATGTAGGGATAGCAGGGACAACACGCCAGAGTAACTCATACGATTGGAATCCAGAACTGCACCTTCTCTTTGTACTGGATCAAATATTTTCTCTTATACTTGGGATACCAAAGTGCATGGCAGCATCAGGAATCGGGGATGTCAGAGAGAGCTTGGAAATCAAACCAACATAAATACATCCCTTTATTGCCATGCTGCTGGGATGCCCAAAGCCTGTTTCTTTTGTTCCAAGTTTGTCCTAGAATGAAAGCATGTAGGGATCTTGCCATATTTATTATTGAGAATCTTAATTCCGTGCCTTGAGCAATACAAGAGTAACCATTTCTTGGTAGCTTTCTTTATTTTTTAAAAATTGCTACTGGAGTAGAAACGTTACATCCATCAAAAACAAAAATGTGAGCTCAAGAACTGCTGACCCTGTGAACTGCTGCTGGTTGACATGAAGTTTGAATGGAGAGGAATTTGATAACACTGTTCACATTTTTACTTTTGTGCTATGCTATACCAAAACACTTGTGTTTGTTGTAAGGATGTAATAATTGCTATCTTTGGTGTCACCTGTATTTTCTTTGTATTAGCAACTATTTTCTTTTCTTGGCCAGTAAATTTAAGAAGAAAATTCCTATGCTGGAGAGTGTGCATCAACTTTCAATATTCTTATTTTATGGTTGGCTTCATTTAGTCTCCCTATGACTCTTCTAGAAGTAGACATTCTTAAATTCAGTGTGCATCACATCTGACTGGAAACATTTTGTGGGTCAGTTCAGTTCCTTTTCTTGATAACATGGACCGTGTTTTTCCACCTGTGAGAGCCCATAAAAGCTCAAGTGCTGACTACAGCAACCACTTATATGAAAAAGTTATATTAATAAAACATTTAACATGTGTGCATCTGTTTTTCAGTAGTAGTGTTGTAGTGATGTAGCCATGATGGTCCAGGAATGATGTGACCGAGAGTGAGAGTTTTTGTGGGTGATATCCTTCCTTGGATCAACTGCATTGTTGGGCTAATATTAGGCAATCTTTCATACGCAAGACATGAAGAATGCCCTGCATTTGAAAGCTTTCCTGAATTTATCCCAACTGTGCACTTAGTCCAATAAAAGATATCACTCACAAAGATCCTTGCTTCTGTTCCAATGAAATTTAACATCTGAAAATAGGAAAAGAGTGCGACTCAGTGCCTTCTTGTGACCAGCCAACCTTGAGTTCCCAGCAGTATTCTGTGGACCAACCAGTGCTGTATAGCTAGAAAAACTTTGCCTCAAAAGAGAGAATAGCTTTGGTTTGACACTCAAAAAGCCGATTTTAAGTAAAAATTAAAAACTCAAGAGGCCAAATGGAAAGTAAGTTGCTAATTGTAAGTACAGTCCTTTGCAGATGGTGTGCTTATTGAAGCTTGTATTGATATCTACCACATACCAGAATGTATATTTTAAAGAATGCATAGCATCTGTGTACATTTGATAAAATAGTATAATAGTGTTAACACACATGCCTTACTTGGCAAATTTAACTAGTTAGAATCTTTCTGTTTATGCTCTTGTAGCTTCAGCCCCACTAATAATTGAAGTGGAACAGGTGGACATGTCAGTTGGACCAATGAGGCTCAAGAATAAACTCTGTTTATGTCTCTCTTAGCAGTTAATAGTTATCAGAACCTTTTACTCCCTGGTTCACCAAGTAGAAAATAATACCTAGCATACCCTGTTATAAAGTGCAAGGTTCTCATGCCATTTCTGACATGGCAAACTAGTGGGGAAGAGAGTGTATCTGAAGACAGTGAGCAGATAGGCCTGTAATTTGAGCTTTAAATAAAATTATGAGGTTAATATTCATGGTTGGACTAAATTATGTGAACTGGAGAGGTCAGTTGAAAGCAAGAGCCAAACCGACCCCTTTGCTGATTCTTTATGATGAGTTTAATGAAAGGATCCTGTTGCTCCCTTCTCAGAGAGACAGTAGTTGGTATAGTCCAATTGAACAGAGCAGCATCTCATGTTATTGAAAGCAAGGTGCTGGCAGAGCACCCTCAGGACTGACCTGGTCAGGGGAGTAAGCTGGAGGCCAGCTAGCCCTAGCCCACAACAGAGGAAAGGAAGGAATCTCTTTTTTCCAGGTAACCAGTTAACCTAGTCAAGCAAGACAGCAATGAATTAGACATGAGGGATCAAACTCACCCTGTCCCCTGGACCAGATGCAGTGGTGGGCTGAGCAGAGGTTGCAGGTAGCACGTAGGGGTGTGTGAAGCGGGCCCTATTCGATTCAGATTCAGCCCGAATCGGGGACTGATTCAATTTGTTGATTTGGATCACTGTTCCTGATTTGATTTAGCTAAGTCCAGATCTAAAGATTAGATGCTGATTCAGAGAATCAGCAATTTGGACATAGACACAGCTTTAAAAGGTTTTTTTTCTACATACCT